TCTTTTTTTGTAGTAATTGTAACCTGTAGCACACTATGTAAAGTTCTCAGAAATTAACTATAGAATATGCTTCGATTTCTTATTATTCTGTTTCCTTATTGTCATTCTCATAAAATCAATCCAAGTGATAACTGGAATGTCTAGAAACAGCCAGAATTTAATCTGGAGGAATTACACACAAGTATATCAGTCCTGGAAGTGTATCTGCTCAAAGGAGCTATGCATCACTACAGAGAATACAATGTTCTGTGCTTGAAGCTTTGGCATATATCTGCAAGATTATTCTAATTTCAGTGTAGAAATCTGACACTGTGGAATACTGCTTGGAAATGTGCATATTATAAAACTTAAAAAAAAAACAACCTACAAAATTTGAACTTAATTGAAAATACTTTCATTTTATGGCAAACCATACTGTAGATGGTTACATTGCATTCAATAAATATTAGCCATAAACCCTACTCTAACTCCAGATTTTGCTAGGCCCCAAAATTTCGGAAAATCCAGGTGTCATCCCAAATTTTGTACCCTTTTAACTGCCAATCTCAGAACCATTTAGGTAGGGAAGTCTTCAGTGGTGCAGCAAGGCCAAAACTGCCTCGGAGGCACTTGGTCTCAGTGTGCCACAGGTCCCGTTTTCCTGGGGATCCCATGGTTTCAGGATATCCAGGAGGTTTGTATGTAAAGCTTGTAAAACCTTAGAAGAATACAAAGGATATTTTATAAAGCTTCCCTTAAAGGATTTTTTTCAAACCACATGGATGTTACTGGATAGGGATTTAGTCTATCCAAATAAAACCAGTTGCACTTTTCAATACAAAAGCACAGATTTATCAAGTGGCTCAGCTGCAATGTGTTCGAGGTTCCTTGACATTGAAAGGTTGGATCAGATGATCTTTTGAACAGCCTGGGCTATTCTATCATTCCATAACAGGGCAACATGATTTTACATGGAATTACATTATTTGCATTCTTGATGCTTTATTATATCTTTCAAAATAAAATAATATAATCTGGACTTTATTGTTGAAAGAATGAAATTGCTTGACTGACACATGATAGTGAAACAATTGCATTAGAAGCTCTGGCTCTTTTATTTCTCCTTCACTAAGAAAAGAGCAAAAAACCCCCTGGATTTGTTCTGAACAAAATTGCAATACTGCAGGCTAAAACTTTCCTTCTCAATCTAAAAACTTTCCTTCTCAATTTAAATTCATTTTAAATTGTTATGCTTTACAAACTTCTAAATGGGATTCTAATTGTTGACAGACATTTTACATTACATGTGTCTATCACTTTGATTTAATATGCATTTTCAATGAAATTTAAAAAAGGCCTCTAAGGTGGCAATTTAACAGCAAGACATGCTGTGAATTTTAGATATAAAAAATATCTAGTTTTCAAGGATTTTTTTGTACATGTGAAAATGGCCCTCCAGAAAAAATAATAAAAAAAATCGGAGACTGTCTGTATGGCTGAATTATCAGAAGCTAAATATCTCCAAGAACATTACCTACTGTTTTAATCAATCACAGTCATCAGAGGCAAACCAGATTTTACATTTATGCAGCATTTCAGTGGTGCACTTCAAAAAGTGTTAACCACAGAAGAAATAGAATGTATTTGGAAATCCTATGTCTGGTTTATTACATCCCATGACCTGATTTAATTTGCTTCTACAGAAAACCCGCATTGAAACGTCTGTTAGTAATACGTACTTGTTGTCAACTTTGATAAGAGACATTTGAAAGGAATTCTCTGGAAGATAAGAGCAAAGCAACTTTTTCTGTGTCCCTAAAAGAGTGGAAACCAGCCCTAGGAGAGCATATAAGCTGCAGCAGAGACCTCTTCTATATCAAGTCTACTTTTGAAATCATCAGAACTGTAGTTAATGTATAAACCCTAAGCTACAGACATGGACAGCACAGTGGGAACAACTCTGCATCTTTAACTTGGAATGTGCAAAACAAAATATTAGCTGCTTTTAAATACTTGCATTTTCTTCATGACTTGAATACAAACATCTTGGCTTTGGCTTATTTTATATAAATAGCTTTAGATCATCTTGTTTTAGTGGTCCTGCAGGGTGTCCCAAAACCTACACTTGATGGCAAGAATAAACATTCATTAAACTTCAAAGGCTGCCAAAAAGTCTAGTTATTTTGATTTAGGGGAATAATTTAAATTAATCCCTATGTTTGTGTAGAAAATATGCAATGTAATCCATTTCTCTGTGTCCAGCTTCAAGTCACACTGGAAAAAAAAATATTGCTTTATTAATGTTTCCTGTTTTGAAAAACTGGAGAAAAAAAATTAAGATTTCATATATTTTTTAAGAATTCTGGCTTAGTGACACTGAGTAACAAATATTATAATACACAACTGTGTAGTTATATCTCCACGTAACTGCTGTTAAACTAACACACACAATGGACTTCTGCAATGGGAGTAGTAAAACCAGATTTTATGTTTGTTTGTGTATATATATATATAATATATATATATATATATATATATATGCCTTTTTTAACAAAAGAGTCAATTACTCTTTTTTTGAATGGCTTTCTGCCTTAGCACCCCAACTCAGCTGATGCTGCTGTGCTACAGAAAACTCACAGTCACCTTTCTAACACATCTTCCTTTTTTTGCTGAGTCCCTCTTCAAATTTAGAAGAAACTTTAGTAGGATGGTTTAAAATTATTTTTTACTTTAAAATGAATCCACTCTTCAATCAAAGAAGCATGTATAGCATACTGTGTCAGAGGCACACTGAGGAAAAAAAATAAAAGGAGGGAGAAGCTCCGCTATTGTAAATCACTGTAATGCCACTGAGGCCAATTTAGACTCGCTGAGGTTGTGGCCTAATATTTGTGCTGAAATGTTGCAGCTATAGCTGTATCCCTGAGCTGTATAAATATTTGTTGAAAGCTGACTGTTAGGGTGCAAGGGGTGGATTGCTCATCAGCAAATAGTGAGGACCCTTGTCTCTTCACCTTTCTTAAGGAAACCTTCCACTTTTGGGGGGGCGGGGTGGGAATTTTGCCTGAGTACATATATGATCCTTCTCACTTTGTGCCTGGATTATAGTGTGTGCAGTGAAATGGTAATTTTAATCTGGACTTTTGAACTTGCACCCGTCTGACTGTCCAGCGCTGATTCATGCCATGTACTGTATATGAATGACCAGCAATGTTTACAAAATGAATTAGCTTGACTCCAACTCTCCAGCCAGAAAGTAATCAAAGTGAAGAGCCAAGCTATTTCTGAAATTCCAGCTTCCCCAGCTAGAAACTGCATGCTCTGTCTTGCTAGTCAGCATATTAATGTAAAATGTACATGTTCTATACTGGAGGACAATTAATAACAGCAGTGATTCTGAGCAGTCTACAGACATTAACTATTCCACCCCCAAACTGCTCTTGTGTGGTGGGCAAATCTGGCTGCAGCATATGGTACAGACACAGAAAATATCTATCAGTAAGTGATTATTCTACAAGTTGCAGTGTGGTTCTTTTTGTTCTTTCTTCTCCTCCTATATTAAATTCCAGTTAACGTTTTATTTCACTTCTTTCAAAGTCAATACAGGTATTCACAGACATATATTCAGGAATCCTCTTATGCAAATATTTTTAGTAGGGCTATTCATAACTGGTATCCCTAAAGTCTTGGAGGCTCTGGTTTATTTTCTCATCAACCATCCTAATTTAAACATTCAGCAACAACAGAGGTACCTTCAAAATAGTCTCATCCTATAAAACACATCAGCCTTTGCCAGATTTAACATAAAAAATTATTATGAAAGAAAACAATGTTATTTAAGCATTTTGTTTGGGATACTCTGAAACTCAAAATGTATCACTGAAATTTTCCTCTGAAAATGAGCCTCCTAATCTGAAAAGCCCACTTCATATAAAGCTGGAGATGTCTCAGAGGCAAATTGTTTGCTCCTGTAGATGGTTAGAGCTCCACAGAGGGAGGATATGAAATAAGGCTCTGTTGATTTTACAGCAGAGCATCTGAACCACTTCCCCCACCCTCATCAGTTAAAGCAAAATTAAAAGAAAAATAAACCTCAATTAGCATGTGAGCACTTAATTTGATGCAAATTGGCATCACTCCACTGGATATCTGACTTAAGCAGAGTTATAACAGGACTTACCACCAAGAAGATCTGGGCCAGGGTATTTTAATGGGTGGGTGGGTGAGAACCTGATTCTTCATCCTTATTCAGGCTGAAAACCACAAATGCACTACAGAGCTATAGATCAGTCGACAAATTGATTGTTTGCAGGGAGGGAGGCTAAAGTGGCTCAGTTATTCCAAAATTAGCAACTACTAGTGTGGTGTATAGCTCAGGCCAAATGACAAGTGACCATGATGCTGCGCATCACCTCCCCATCTATATCATAGCTGCATCCAACCCCTGTTGACTTTTATTTCCAGAATAAACTTGCAAATGCAGTAGAGGTAAAAATGAATAACATCTGAATAAAATAGCTTGGCAGGATATCTTTAACATTACCTAAAAATCAAAGGTAAATAAATAGTTAAATTTAGCTGTAGCTTCTCTTAAGTAGTTTGAACATAAGTCAATATTTTCGTCTTTTGTTGTCTCAGGGTTTCTACAGGAGCAGAGAGAATTTCATCAATGATGTTTCTACACTTTATAGCAGTATGCCTTTGTACTATTATCCATCTGTACCCTTATCTAGCATGTTATCAGCTGTATGAAAATAACTATCAGTGCCGTCAGCCCACAGCAAGTATCAATAGGAAGAATGACAGTGGCTAGTTTGCACACTTGAAATGGTTTATTTGTTGCAATCCTGTGCACAAGATGTTTATCAGTAAGCACCAGACAGCCATGCAGAAGAAGGAGCCTTAATTCTGTCTGAGACAGCCTCTTATTGCTATTGATAGTTAGCATCAGTGTCCAGTCTGAGAAATGGAAGTGCTGCAGGCAACTTCAGTCAAGACACCCTATTGATCTACTGCTTCCTCTGCGTCCCTGCAGCTAGAGAAGAAAAATAAAAAGGGGAGGAAAAGCTTGCTGTATAAGGGGCAATGCAGCAGTCTATGACTTGCCATCATTCAAAGGGGTGTGTATGTGCATGGATATTCCTGATATTCAGTACCTTAGACAACTGTAAATCACATGCACAGCCATGATAAATATAAATGTCAATGTGCTGGAAATGTCCTTTATATAAGAGGTGTCACTAGAACTACAGTTTTAGCATGAAACATTTTTGCTGCTTTTTATTTTTCATTGACTTATTGTGCCTCTGTTATATCCTGTCTAACACAATCAATCTAAAGCATAATATCTGAGAGTCCTATTCATAAATAATACATATTTGGGTCATTTTCATTTGTATTCTACAATGAAGATTTACAAGCCAGAAACAAAACAAGAAACAATGTGTGGAATGCTCTTATTCAGTGGATAAGAATATATTACTGTGATCAATTAATCTGCTTTTCTCTGCATTAGGTGGACATCTTTATGGTACATCCATAAGGGTTTATAACTTGGGAGAGACAGAATCAGCTCTAAGACTCTAACATAAAATGCCTGTACTCAGAAAAGAGAAACTTTTCCAAAGTTTCTTGTTTGGTTGGTTTTTGGTTTTGGGGGTTTTTTTGGTTTTGTTTTGGGTTTTTTTTGTTTGTTTTTTTTGTTTGGTTTTTTTTGTTTGTTTTTTTGTTTTGGCTTGGTTTGGGTTTTTTTGTTTTTTTTTTTTTTTTAATGGGAAATGTGTTAATTTTGGCAAACTCAATCACAGCAATAACCCATCTGTGAACATAGTATATTACTCTGCCCTATATATTACCTCTCATGTTAAATGAAACAAAAAATTGACTAAAATAATTCTAGCGATTTCTATAGTGCCATTCATGCAAAGATAGTCACATTTTACTACAAACCACACAAATTCATTCTACAGGAGGGAACACTGACACACAGAAAGGTCCCAGCTCAGTTTTCTCACGCGGAAGTTATTTGGCAAAATTAAGTAAAATAAAATCTGTGCACATAAATTGCCGGAGCAACAAGAAAGGTGAAAGGAAGACTTCAGTTGGCATTAGTATACAGTATAAGAAACTACAGTCACTGGTGCAGACACCAGCAGGGCTAGTATTCCCATGATGGGCCATGTCAGAGGAGCAGCAGTGATGGCCTAGATACTTATCACTTTTGCCTGCACAGAAGAAGCAAAAGTTAGGGTTTGGTGAGTTAAAATCAGCCAGAGCTACTTTAGGAAGGAAAGTCAGAATATACAAGAACTTTGCAGGCAATATAAACTGTTGGAGAAAAGCAGGGGTGAATGGAGGGAGTGTGGACCAGGCTGGTCACTGTGACAGACCCCTCCCGTTTTCCTCAAGCCCCTAGAGATGAAGGCTGGGTGGTGCTCAGGGCTTTGGACTCTGGTCCTCAGAGTGGGGTTGTTGTATTAGCTTTTCAACTCTGGAAATTTTCTACAAGTGCATCTCAGATAAAAATTGAAATGAGTTTTGCAACTATGGCAAAAAAGCAATTTTACATTTCATAGGCCTTTTAAAACCCTTTTCAATAGAAAATAAAAATAACAGTAAGGGGGGAAAAAAGGCTACATTTCCATTCCCGATTTTATAGTTTGACGTTGCAGATGTTTCTGGGTCAGAGGTCAACATGTCTTTAGGTGTCAAAAGATGCAATAACCTGAGTCAAAAATGGCCCAGTCCCCAGAACTGTGACTGTGTGCCAGAATATCCCCACCTCAGAAGCTTGCTGGCAGCAATGTGCTCCAGGTGTCTTACACTATGCAGACCTGGTAGTCATTTTAATATTTTCCATGCTCATGTAAATGGACTTGATGTGTGTTCATCAAATGTGGGAAAATCCCATAGAATTGTGTGCCATCTGTTTATAGGTAAAAGGTCTGCTTTGCTGACAATTTAGTGCAAAATCAGAACACAGAATGAAAGCAAGTTCTGGTTTGGTTTTATAAATCTGAGGCTTAATGTCATATCAAAACCCTAACAAAGTTCAAAGGTTCATTCTGTTTGGAGAGCAGTATTGTCCTCCTCAGATGTATGGATATTACCTGAGCCCTGTGGAGCTCTTAAATCTGCACCACGTGGCTACAACTTGCAACCTAATGAAACCCTGAGCACACACAGGAGCCAGCAGGACATGGAGAGGGTGCAAGGGCCACAGTTTGGGCAGCTGGATGTCTGCACTGGTGCCCTGGACCAGAAGCCTCCATGAAACACTAGCTGACAGCATTCCAACACTTATGGTTGCCCTCAAGTGAGGAACTCAAGCTGAAGCAAAAACGGAAAGGCTCATTTTGAAAAAGTATCACCTTATTTTATTTAGCACTCAATACTGCATTTGCTTTTTTGTTAGAATTAAAGCCAGGTTTAATTCAATTAATATGGTAGATCTCAATCAAAGTGTCCATCTTTATTATTTTGGTCTGTTTTAAACAAGACTGTTGGACAGAAGGCAGTTATGTCTGAGGTCCTGAAAGCAGCTCTGATATTAAAAGGAAGGCTACGATCACAGTGATTTTCAGCGTCAGTTGACAGACATTGACCAGTCATCAGAAGAGGAATTTGAGACCTTTCTTATCCTCCACTCCTTGTGGAACTTCCACTTCTACCTTTCCACAGAGAACTGATAAAAAGACCTGAGAAATTTATACCTGAATATAAGTCAGATGTTGTCAGGAGATGATGTCAAAGACTGTTGCAAAAGAGTATTTTCATTACACCCACCATGGAGTGAGTCTTGGGTGAAAGAAGAGTTAATGCAGCTGGCAGAAGAGAAAAACATCAGAAGAAAATAAACTGACAAAGCTAATCAAATCCAGACAATCTAAAATCTCAAACTGGATTCAAGGTAAGCTGGAAGGATGCTACAGCATCAAAAGCTGTTAAGCCATCCAGTACAACCTGAGGAGAAGACAGAACAAAATCTCTGGAGATATGCTCTGGATGCTTAGCAAGGTAGGTCAGTGTATCTCCACTCTACTGCTTTTCACAGGCTTAACCCTGCCCCTTATGGCCCAATATAGATATTTTAACCTTGCCACCAGCATTGTACTGTATAATCTACCCCATTTGCCAAAAGAGACAAGTTTTATACATTCAATCAGAGAAGTGCAACTCCTCCAGTAATGTGGCCAAGACATTTACTTTGAAAATTGAGGAATCTTATTTTCAAGGTCAGTCTGAGGTTTCCTGGGTTCAGACTAAAACACTTTGTAGGGCCAAAGAAATATTTACTGGGTTCTAGGGAGCAGAGAGTAGATGTGTAATTTGAACATATTTCAAGTCAGCCTGGGAGGTCTTTTTGTTTTTATATATTTGTGTCTCCTCAGACAACCTTTTTTTCCTTTTCTTTTTTTTTTCTGAGAATTTGGAAGTGAAGAAAATGATGACATTTTTTACCAGTACATTTCAGTTGGGTCATATCCTGCATTGAACCAGAGAAGCTGCATTATTTGCACCCTTTCCAGGATGTATTTCTTTCCAGTGCATCATATGAAACTATATAGTCACATTTTGTCCAAGGGTTGCCATTCCTTGTGTTAAACTAGAAGGAGTTTCTGCATAAAGCAATTTTCTGCATACCCTTTGATGTCTTACAGCCTTTAAATGTTTCTAAGAACAGCCTTAAATTCCTAAAAAAGTTTCTGCATAAAGACCTTTGACAGTGGGAGTATTGGGAGAATGACACGTTGTAGGGCTAATTCCAGGTGGAGCTTCTTACACTTGGTAAATTAAGCAGCAGCATTTTACAAATGAGCTCCATGATGAGTAGGTGATCAGAAGATGTGCTACTGTGTAGTGGAGATTATCATCGCAGCATAGGAACTATCACCTAGCCCAGCAATGGCAGTAAAAGGTTAAAAGAAATACTCAATATTATCAATCATATTAAAAAAAAAAAAAAGAGAGAACTCCTTACAGCTGCCAAAGGAGCTTGGGAGAATTAATGTGTTGGTGTCAAAAAGACTGAGAACGAGTGAAATAGGACTACAGTGATTGCCAGAATCTTACTTGCCTGGAGAGATAACATTGGACATTCAGTTTAACTAGGCAGGTGCCAAGAATCCTCTTGTGGATGCTATGGAGTGGCTTTCAAATATAAGAATGTACAATGCCCTCCATCGTCTGGTACTTTCTCTGGTTTCAGAGCTGCTCATTAAGCCAGGGAAACCTCCAGTGAGGTGTGATGACCTGAAAACAGGAAGGAGCTAAAGAATCAATGTTTTAAGTAAAACAGCAATTATAAAAAGATCTACAACTCTTTCCATGCAATCAGGTAAATTACCAGGAATGGCATAAAGCACCTAAATTGGAGAAAGAGTGGAGGAAGGGGAGTGGAGGGGAAAGAAGGTCCCTTGGGCAATACCTGATAGGATGCTTAGTCTGTGTGGAGGGCAAAAGGTTAAGTGAAAATGAGATGAAGGAATGATCAGATATAGTCAGATCAGAGACAGTTAAATAAAGGAAAGTGCTAACCTAAGATAAATGTGAAGAAACACACTTGTGCTGAGTGTGTTGGTGTAGCTGTTCTTCAGCAGTTCAGGAACAGGAGAGGCAGAATTCCCAGTTCCCAATCCATATCAGTCCTAGCTGAAGTACTTTCCAGCAAAAACCCAAAAGGGATAAGGATACAGGTTTAAGATTCCTCTCTGCTACTCCAATAGTGTAAAAGTATATTAAAGGGCTCCTAATTATATCTACACTTTTTGCAGGTCCCTTTTTACTGCTGCTGTGATATAAAACATCCTTAGTAATGAGAAGGAGAGTCAGGCCTGTGCCATCTGTGATTTTGGACAGTGAGAGAGATGCTGTTTTAAAGTATCAAAACAGAAATACTGAGAATTACTTGAAAGCTCCAAACTTTGTTGGTTGATTAATGATTTCATGGGTCAAAGAGCTCTCATTAGTAGGAGTTTCCATAACAACAAACAACATTTGGTTAAAGAGATGCATAACATAGCAAACAAATGCTTGGAACAGTCTATATAAAACTTCATCAAATATTTTGGTAAATCTCCATTCTTAGCCTACTCAACAAAAAGGGCCTGGGATAACAGATTGCACCAGGAAGCTCAAGAAGTATCTGTACTGACCAAATCTGGAAATGACCACAAGTATTTTGTTCAAAACCCTTTGATGTCTTACAGCCTTTAAATGTTTCTAAGAACAGCCTTAAATTCCTAAAGGCCAGATAAAAATTCTAATTCTTAGACACATAATTTGGAGCTCAGTAGTTTTTGTGTTTCCTCAGGAGCTTAATTAACATATACAATTACACCTGGGAATTAGGAAATTAGGTGCTAATAACTGGGGAATACCCAAACAGGATTTCACTAAAATAAATTTTAGTGCTCTCAACAATTTGAGTGCCACAACTCTTTGGGGTGAGAAGTAGTTGTGTGCTCTCCACAAAGAGTTTGTTTAGTCACAGAATGCACCAAACCTAGCTGAACTACTGTTGAGCAATACTTCTCAAGGTAGCTGCCCTTGCAAACTGCAGATTGAGATGCAGAGTGAAATGCAGATCGAGCTCTGGGTGGGAGCCCGAGACAAGAGGCCGTGAACTGCCAGCCTTGGGGATAACAAAGGGACAGAGATGGGTGACGCCAGCCAGGTGAATGGACACTGAGAGACACAGCAGGGGCCGGGAACTGCCGATCTTTTAGATAAGAAAGGAGATGAAGACGGGTGATGCCAGTGAGGTGGATGGACATGGACACGGAGAGGTGGGGCAGGAGCCGAAGACTCCGGAGGAAGAGCGAGACTTGTGCACGGGGAGAGTATGAGGGTATAAAAGGTATAAAAGCCCAGGGGTCCCTTGGTTGAGGGTCCTCCTCGGAAGCACCTGCTCGGACTGTTTCTGTGTTACTGCGCCGTGAGTAAATGGTTTTATGGAACCAGACATCTGAAACTGCAATGGGAAACCTGGGGTCGAACCGGTAAGGAAGCCTGGTCTGACTGTGAGTGGGGTGCGTGGGGAGCCAAGTGGGACCCGTGGAGCCACGGGAGCCGCCGCGGTGAAGGGGCTTCATCCCGGGAGTGCAAGTGTCTGGCCTCGGGAGCGTGGCTGCCAGAGTCTCCTGAATGGTCAGACTGGGTAGTTTCCTTAACACTTCTTAATCGTTGGGACTAACACAGATCCCACATATATTTGTCATCCCTAAGCTACAATGAAAGAAGTCTGAGTCTGTGAATGAGGAGGTCTCAAATGAAAGACGTGGTTGAAGCATTTTGACCCTATTCAATCAAGGTCAATTTTCCTCTGAATTGTACCTGTTTCTTTGTCTAACATTTTAGATACCTTCCAAGTGTCTATCGACAGAGTTTATAAGTGGCATTGCGCAATGAAGAAGAAAGAAAGCTGCTCACAAAACTCCCCCTCTCCCCCATGTGTTAAAAAGCAGAGTTCCTAAGGAAAAGACAAAAGAGTGTTTGGGTCCCAGTTGTATGTGCCTATGGGAAAGGAGTGGTGAAAAGAGGCCAACAGCTCCTGGAAACGGGGAGGGGAGAGCACAAATCAGCTTTATGAGCCAGCAAATGATGGATGGCTAAATGCCAACTGAGAGCAATACATAGAACGGGGTTTGCATTGTTGCAGTTATTAAAGGTTATTTTACTTTTAATTTTTGTGGTAGGGGTTCTTACTCCTTCCTTACAGAAACCCTTGATTTTCACTTGCTACATACTTAGATGCACTTGTCATACCCAAAAGGTGATTTCAGTTCTCGGATGCCAGGAAACTTCTCTGCTGATCAAAACACAGCTGCACAGGCTCACTGGATCTATTCATGGGTGCCACAAGACTAGGGTATGTCTGTCTATACCTGTGAAAATAGATATAATTAATATAAGAGATATGATACATATATGCAAATCCTGAAGCAAAAAATGTCTAATAGTAAGAATGTTTTCGTTTGCCAAACCATATCAAAATATCCAAATTACTAAAGCAGTATTCAGTCCACACTCGGACTACTGCTACTGCACTGACATCAGCACCCTCTTAGTGTATTTTATTTTACATTGAGCTTGTTTTTTAATGAAAGATCTTAAGGAACACAATTTTTAAAAAATACTTTAAGTAGCTTTTCCCAGACTATAACCTCTCTCACCTCGCCTTTAAAAAGCTCGTTCCTTTATTTCCCACAAGTTGCTTGGACATACAATGTCAGGTCGCAGGACTACATGAATTGCTATTAATTGGACACCGATTTTAGGATTGGAACAATAAAGGAGCAATTTCTATCTATTTTATATAAAATTCCTTCAGTGTGAGAAAGGGAACAGAATATTTTCTTACAGATAACATTTTTATTAATTACAGGAATGTATATCAACCCATTTAGTAACAAATAACAGAGAGGCAATATCTTCAGTATGCTTTATTATATTAATAGATTTTGTATTACAATTTTACCTTCTTCACTTTGACATTTATTTCTCCTTTAATGAGTTAAAATGCCTAGCCAAGAGCTCTTGGCTTTAAGTACGTTCTTACATCAGCATATTAACTGTCACATTCAGGCTAATAGGCTTAACTTATCTGTTCGAGATCTCTGTCAGAAAAAGACCCAAACCCTCCCATTTAAAAAAATTGATGTAAATGGAAACTTCCACTTTAGTGGCCCTGGAAGACAATAATGCTGCTTCATCATCATCCAAACATTCAGTTTTACGGGTTTGCTGCCAAATATCCCAAATATCCGTGATAAGTGTCTCTTCTTGTAATAAAAGATACTGAACAAAAAGCAGTTTAACTGAGATTTTGAAGTCTTGATTTGCAACAGTCCATTCTGAACCCTTCATTTTATTTCCTTTTGTATTGTGCAGGCAAACAATTGTAGCTTTCGTCATGAGCTCAAGCAGTACATTTTAGCAGACTGAGCTTAAGCACATGCAGATGGCTGTAACATCAAATTTTTTTAAAGGATATTATAAAGCCAACTGTAAGCAAATTAATGTAAAAATGAAGGAACATTTTTTCATAATATTGGGTAATTGCAAGCAAAGTTTCAATGGACCTCAGAAACTGAGATGAAACAACTGCAGGTTTTGAATACTTTTTAATTCTGACTTAAATCACATTACTATGAATCACCATTATCAATGCAAGGGACATCATCAATGGAAATATACAGCTGATATGATCTATTTTTAAGAACAGTTTTAGAATCAGTTTCCTCATTAATTATGACCATGTTAATGAGAGGAGAGAAAAAAATTACCTGATATTTTACCAAGAGTCCTCTCCTTTTCTTCTCTCTTAATCCAAACCAATTCAGCAGGACTTGGGCTTCTGAAAAAACAGAATTGTGATAGATTTTCTGTATGTACCCTTATTTTTTTCTGCTAGAAAGGTACATACAGTGGTTATCTGTGGATTTACTCTCTGCTCAATGGTGACTCATTGGCTGTTTCTACCTCTCTCAGTGACACAGCTCCAGAGCTCAGAGCTCACGGGAGCCTTGCTGGGTCAAAGGTACCTTTCAGTGTCAGAGAAACTGAACTCACTCCTGAACACAGGGTCCACCGAAGTGTTTCTTTACTCAAGATGCCTTTCAGTGGTTATGGTATTTCTGACTTCTTTCTTGTGAAACTGGGAGATAGTGGTCATTTGCTTCCCTGTTTGCCTGTATGAGGAAGCAAGAGAAAAAAAATAAAAATCTGTTTAAGAGCAAATACCACAAGAGATAATTCCATCTGCCTGCCTGATTTGACATTTTCAACTCAATTTCTCTGTTTCTCTGATGAATGATCCAGCTCTTCCCAGTAATAGGCACTGCTTAAGTGCTGGACATATGCTACAATAATAACAATTACAAATAATTACTCTAATGGGGTGAACGAATAACACCAATTAGTTGGTGTGATGATGTTTCCATGACAAACTCCAGCTTTATGGAGTTGTTCATTTTTAAGTCTAAAAGCTTTCTGATATCCTTTGTCAGGCAACAGTGTGACTTGACCACCTCAATTAATAAATCTGTCTTGCTAGATGCATATAGTCATGGACTGTGCTCCTACTTCAGTGAAAATTTCAGTCAACACCTAGTGCAGAACTAAGTTTAGGCTTAACTGTAAGCACTTAATCATAATGAAGCAGATTTCCTGATGAATACTTATTAAATAATTACATTGCCTATATCCTGAGGAAATGTAAAAAGAGAAGTGTTGGTGTGCACATGTACTTTGTTACATATTGTCAAATTGAACTGGTTCAGGACAACACTTCAGCCTGTTGTTAACCTCATTAACCTCAGACATCAAATACAATGGACTTGCAGACATGTCTGAACTTAAGCTCAAGTATCATTCAGAATAGAAATGTTTTACTGAACTGAGAGTTAAACTGAGGCATGCTCTTGTTCAACAACAGAGGACAGAGCTTCTTGCTGAAGTAATATTTAGGTCTGTGCAAGAGACTAAAATATTTGATGTCATAATGCTACTCTGGATGTGAACCTAATTCTCAATGTTTTCAGATTTAACTGTTCCTCCCAGCATGGTAATAGATATTACAGTAATATTGAACAACATAAATTAATTGGTATGAATCTTAAAAGCTTTACACGGGTTTAACATTTAAAACATATCACAACAACAATCCTAGTAATTTTCAAGGTCTGCTAAGACCAAAAGTTTAATCAACCAGCAAGTCTTTGGTTTGTTGTTGTTGTTTTGGTTTTTTGGGGTTTTTTTGCATTTTGTATGTGTTTTTCTTCCTTTCTGCAATTCATTTTGCCTGTACAGAGAAAGGAATTCAAGAATCATGCAGCAGACCATTAGTAAACTTGTCAGGTCTGCTGACACAAAATCCACAGGTCCACCAAAATAACAGGTATCAAGGAGTTTATGAGGACTCACATATATCTGCCATATTCTGTCAGGAGGGGTGGATGCTCTTCATCCACTCTGGCACAAAGACACATCAATATAAAATCTGGGCTTACCTCACAATTTACTGCCACACTTTCCACTCTGCAGCTGACCCCTGATAACTCTTTGCTCACAGAGAGAGGAAGTCGGTGGCAATAATGATCCAGAAGTCTTCCAGACCTCATGGGTAATGTTTCCACAGTCAAAGACTCTCAGAGAGAGAGAGATCAGTGCTTTGTTAAATTAGGGACTTAAAACAGGAAAAACACCAGGGAAGTCACAGCCAAAGGGATGTCAACTGTTTTTGTAAAAGTCCTAACTGGGTCACCAGACATAATGACTGAGTGACCAGAAGTTCTTTCCTGGATATTAATTTACCAAGCTGTTTCTCCATACGCACTTTTTGTAGCCCATGAATTGTTTTCCCAAAGAGCACTCTTATGAGCCATCAGCACTTGGTTGGAGTTGGAGGCCTGGCTGCATAAAAGTGCTCTCCCAGTGCTGTACAGTCCTTCGCCTGCTGCCTCACATCTCTGAACACGCAGTTCAGTGCAGCTGCTCAAGCTCACAACTGTCTCATTTGCTCAGAGAGCTTCTTCACTGATGTTTGAGCAACAGTGATATCACTGCCAGAGTATGTCACTAACATCTTGGAAGCAGAGGAGGAAGGGAGACAGACTTAAAATGCCAAGATGAAATAAAAACAACATGAATATTCTTCTTTTGACAAAAGACTACAGGAGTTTAGAAACGAAGAGTGCCTTATAGGTCCACTGATTTGGTACCTCAATGAGTTACACCAGTATATGTGGTGTCTTGGAGTATTAAAAATAGGAATCAAACTCCTAGTTAAGTAGTGATAATTAGGTCAGAGAACAGAACTCTGTAGGTACTTCAGCAAGTCAAAATTTTACCCATTTTGTACACACTATACAAAATACTGGACTTTTAAGTTGGGGGAGGTTGTTTTATTTTCAGGCTCAAGTTTTCAAATAATTGACAAGTTCCTAAATGTGCTTGTAAAAATCCCCAAGTCATGTGCTAGTCAGATAAAAATCTGTTCACTGTAAAAAGGGAAGGGGGAAGGGTGGGGAAGGAAAGGTTTGTTGATAAGTTTGCTATACTATTTAAATGTTTTAACCATGGCCTGGAGCTCAAATCAGCATTCATGCAAAGTTCCTATTTATTAGAGTATATGAAAAGTATTCAGTAAAACTATATCTTGTTTTTGAAGGAGATGTGCCCCAGTAAATAAGGTGTAAGACTAGATCCATTTCTTAGAAATATGAAAAATGAGTGATAAACACTGTCAGAAACTATGCTTTGTCCCATTTCAAGTTTCTTGAGAACATACTCTTGTTCAAAATAAGTGATTAAATAGCACAGGGGAAAACGGACGAGGGAGAAACCACAAAGGCATTCATCACGCTGAATCTAGGCCCACATCGACTTGTCTAAATCTATATAAAGAAAAAGGCCTGCAAGTGACTCTGAAAGTGATGGGAACCCATGCTTCAAACACATGTCTTGAAAGAACGTCGGAAACCTCGTTCCTCTTTTGGCTGTGGTTACAGATGCTTTCTCTGGACTGCGGGCTCACCAGTTTCACTTGTCTGGAGTACTCAAAAATACATTTTCCCCTGGAAGACAGTCTGCATATGCTTACAATAAAACATTAACCAAATCAAATAACTTCCACTTCAGGATAAATACTTTGAAGTAAGTCTGTTAGAGACGCTCATAGCAAATTGCTATTAATTAGTTTTTCCAATCTACTTAGGTTGTACTAATGAACACAATCACTCCTAACATATTTATAAGCAGGATAAATCCTGCCTCTCTCTATATGCCCATGAAAGGCTCAAGGTAAAATGGATATATTCTGCTGCAGGAACACATGGGGAGCCACTTTAGAACAGGTGGATGATCCTGCTGGTTTTCTGTGTCTCTGAACTCGCCTGTTCTCACTGCTGGACAGCTGCCCTGGTGCTGGGGCTGCAGGGGAGCAGAGTCTGTAGCTTTCTTGGCCACGAAATATGTTAAGTTACATAACATGGAAAGTCTCAGCTCTGCAAAGCCAATGAAACCACATTTTCCTATAAATGTGACTTCCTCTTTTTGCACATTACCCACTTGTAATGGCCTGCTGGAAATTACATGATAGTATCTCCAGAGATGGGAACTTCTCTTCTTGTGCTTGTGAACATAACCCAACACCGAGAGGTCCCCTGGTGGGACATTTCAGGGTGTTACTGGAAGGGCAGCAGCCATACCAATACCTCTCAGCACCCTCTTGCTAAGTCAAAATACAGAAGTATGAATTAGAATTTTGTCTATACCACAGTTAAAAAACCCCCAAAACTGTTACCTTCAGCAATTTGAAGTCGGTTACTGGAAAATCCCTAGATACAGCAGAGCAAAGCTCCTGGCAGTTTGCTTCACCAAGTCCTGAATAGTGCTGAAATGCAACTCAATTATTTTTAGAAATTATCTCCCCTATTTTTGTGTAATTTTCTTAACAGCTTTGAATACCTAAAGAAGTACTGCAACAGACCACAAGACACAGATCCGAGAAACCTGCATGCATTGCATAAAACATATGATTCCACAACTCATTAAGTCTAATTTATGGCATATGTAATTAAGCACCTTTGAATTGAACCTAGGTCTCTAGAGATAATAACACTTACAACTTATATAGGGCTTTTCATCTTCGAAGTGCTTTAAAAACGTTAACTAATTAACAACATAATAAGACATGAAAGGCCAAAGTACTTACTCATAGTGCTACATAACCTCTGTATAATTCAGATTTTGATGTTTTTCAATGGAAGAACCAATCTGGGACCACAGAAAGGATTTACTAGTGGTTCCCTCCACAATCAGAACCATGACTTTGTACACATCCTATCTGAATTCTGAGTCCTTCCCTTCTCTGCTATTTAATGCTGAGTCAGAAGAAAACAGCTCCCAAATGTGAAGGAAAGTATGGAAAAGGATAGTTCACAGCAGCTTATGAGGGTGTTTGAGTTTTCAGGGCTTTGCAGATAGAAAAACGGGGCCTAATGCAGGAAGGAGCTCCTGGAGAATTCACTGCACAAGATTTCTGGTACCACCAAAGCCCATGTCCTTCCCAAGGTAAATCTAATAATAGTGGCACGAAGTCTCTAGAGATTGGCTAAAAGATCAGGGAGAAAACCTTCAGCTCGAACACATTTTCCTGTAAAACCTACAATGTTATTTTGCTTAATTCCTGCTCTTCTGAAAAGTCTGCAGTTTTTGACCAGTGTTTTAGTTTTTGAGGGTTTTTTCTATTGCTTGGTCTAATTTACACACAGGTCTCTTGAGACAGTGTATCTTGAGACAGCCTTATTATCTGAATGAATGTTTTCTTGGTGATAGCAGTGTTGCAGA